GCAAGCATGACATCACAGTCCTGGAAATGCTAAGGATCCCAAATCTGATGAGAAGTACCTGCACTGCGTTGTCTTCAGTCTTCCCATGAAAATTGGGATCCAAGATATTACTGCAAGGAACGTGACATCACCATCATCAAGAAAAAAATATTTTAAACTTTTCTCCACAAGTGTTTTTTTGAGGGTGAGGATCCACCAACAGCAAATGAAAAAAAAAAAGCTAGGTAAACAGCTTGTTCTTCACCCTGCTAGCAGCAGCCAGAGTCATTCTTCTCTCTGCTGATTGCCAACGATAAAAAATGTCAAAAACTAGCATTGCAGAGATTTCTTAATCTGCCAATAAAAAGAAAAAATCGTATTTATTTAGCAATAGCTGCAGGCTGTCACTTCTCACGCAAGTCTTCTATTACTAAAGTGGCATACCATATCAGTCATAGATTGTAATACAAAGGTGAATACATACAGTAGGTGTTACCTTTTGAAAGTGAATCTCCTTTGCTTCCAGAAAACACATTTCTCTTCATCAGTAAAGGCATAGCTGGATTATCCTCACCACAACCTAGGCAGCAGGTTAGGGCCCAGTGGATGCATGCTCCTGCAATAAACCAGGGGAACAGTGCAATAGATCAAAAGTAGGCACCTGCCTGTCACTTTACAAGGGAGAAGGTACTTATAGGCAGTTGATTTCTGATGTGGTCATGTCAGTAAAGCAGGGGTTCTCAACTAGGGTTCCACCAGAGGTTGCTAAGGGTTCCTTGAGCAATAAACAATTTCTACCTCTCTCAGATAGGTTTCCAGTGATACCATTGATCCATTTATGTATCTGTAAGGGGGTAACTCTTCCCAATAACCACAAGTGTAAGGAGCATTCTTCCCACTGACCATCACACCAATGTATCGTGAGTTGTAGATATAGTAATTTTTAGCAGGGGTTCCCTGAGACTTGAAAGCTTTTTAACCACTTCCCATACGGCCCATGTACAGTACATAAACGGCCGGACGGGAGCAGTGCAGGAGTGGGTGGCCATTTATAAACAGCCCCCGCATTCACTGCCTGTGTGAGCTCCCTGGGAGCATGCGGCACCGCGATCCGGTGCCCGCTTTGTCACAAAACAAAGAGGAACACCGATCGCTGTACGGGACCTCTGTGTGAGGTCCCGATTCATGTGATCACTGATTGGCCAATCAGTGATCACATGAATAGTAGTAAACAAGATATCACTTGCTGACATCATTGCTTACCAGGGGCGGACTGACAACTCATGGGGCCCCCGGGCAATAGGGAATCATGGGGCCCCTGTGTCCTTGCCCAAACTCAAAAAAGCCTATGAAAAAGGTACCAGGGGCATCTCATGGGGCCCCCTACTGACCCTGGGCCCTTGGGCGGTGCCCGAGTTTCCAAATGGTCAGTCCGCCCCTGTTGCTTACTACGTGTGAAATCTATGAATGATCACAGAGATCACATGGTACAAGGCTATTCACAACAGCCTTGTACCATGTGACAAGCTGTGACCAATCACAGCTCTCACAGTATTTCTCAATGGCTGCAGGAATGCAGCCAGAGAGAAGGAGAAATGATTGCTTTTAAAGCATTTATGGGTAAAAAAGCAATCATTGTAAAAAAAGAAAAAAAATCTTCATCACCCCCAACAAGTAGTACAGTATCACTATGGTAACACTGTACTGCTCGGGTGACAGTATGTTAAAAAAACCCATAAATAATAATATAAAAAAAAATAAAATAAAAATGTAAAAAAATTTTGCAAAATTATAGTTTTTGGTTATAAACTAATTTGGGTTATTTTTTTTTACTAAAAAGATATATAAATACATTTTGGCCAAGATTTATGAAGAAAGAAAAACACTTTTTTTTCAAAATGTTTGGAATTTTTCATTTATATGGCAAAAAAATAAAAATCCCAGTGGTGAATAAATACCACCAAAATAAAGTTTTATCTGTCTCAAAAATAATGCTAAACAATTCATATGGGTACAGTGTTGCATGACCGTTCAATTGTCATTCAAAGTGTGTTAGCACTGAAAGCTGAAAATTGGCCTGGACAGGAAGGGGGTGAAAGTGTCCGGACTTGAAGTGGTTAAAGGGTTCCTCCATATGTGTGGTACAGACAATGATTCTCTGAGCCAATTGCAGTCCTTACCAATGTCAAAGGGGTGAGAGGACCAAAGCTGCTGGCTTGCCTAGAGCCTCATTCAGCGGGCCACATACATTGAGATTTCTCTCGCTAGGCCCATTCAATTCCTACATCCACACTAAAAAGTGTGGATAAGGGAATTTTCAGTGTTGGCTACTGTATTCTGACAATGGGCCCCTGCAGCTGTCAGAATACCCAAACAGTACCTGCATTTAATTGGCATAATGCTTTTTATTGTCTGTATTTCTTAGCTGCACATGGCAACAAATGCAAAATGTCTTGAAGTAAACCTGCGGCCAGGCTATGAACGTAAAGTATTTATATATAATTAACAAACAGTAAATGATCTTTAAAGCTCATTTGTGGGCAAAACTTTATTGGAAATTGAATAATATGTCAGATCAACACGAATTTAGGTGAGTAAAGGGGGCATTTAGATAGGGTGATTTGTATTATGCCAGTGATTAGTTGGGGGTGGGTAGAGGTGTGTGTGTGGTAAATTGTTTTTTTAAACAACTTTCAGCACCTGCTCTCTATACTATACTATACTAGGTGAATAATTAGATACCTTTATATGTTTATATATTTGTATATATTAATGTATATAATATCTTTATTTTAATAATGAACAGCTACTAAGGGGTGCATCCATAAAACAGGATTCACAAAGCATGCTGGGTTTTCTTAAAGGAGAGCATAGCTAAGCTATGAGGTGGTATTAAAACGTTTTGTCAACAGATGACAGCACCTTTATAAGTCAAAATGCTGGATCTTCGCAATGTTTTCAAAATAGCGACCTATGAGCTGGACCTTCATCTTTGGGAAGAGGGCATTTTTGGGGGTTGAGCTCGTTGAAGGTCTTCCTGATCTCTCGTCATCTTCCAGTGAGGTTCTTCCACTCTTGAAGCATGTGTACCACTCAAAACACCTTAAACTACTCACTGCAGCATCGCCATAAACTTACCGAATCATGTCAAACGTCTCTGTGGCAGATTTGCCCAGTTTCATGCAGAATTTCACGTTTTCTCTTTGTTCTAACTTCATGTCCATGATTAAATAGTAGATGTGGTAATGCACGTGGTTAAAATAGAACCAGTTGCACAGCTCCCAATGTACACAGGACAAAGTCTTTTGACACACTGACTTATAAAGGTCAGTGCATCCAGTGACTGTGCTGCCATCTGTTGGCATGTTAAAAAGCTATCAAACAGTTATTAACTCTCACTATCCTATAATATCAAAGTTCAAGATGTTCAGAAATTCTTCTAACGATCTCCCATGTGCATATACCTCAAAAAAAGAAAATAACATATAGTGCATTATCCTTTATATAATATAAACTTAATTCATCTCCCACAATCCAGTGACAAATAGTGATAATGGTGAAAAAAACGGTGGAAAATAGTGAAATAATCAGTGAAAACACTGTGTGTGTGAATCACCCTTCAATCCCACACACAGAAAGATATAATTGCAAACTGGTGTGCACTTCTATTCATAGTAAGGGTACCCTTACCAACATTTCAGAAAACACATGCTTATATCAATCCAACAGCTTTCTCAGGATGAATGATCTCCACAATCCTCCCTGGATTGCTGATCCCACTGTTTCCAGGCACTTTACTCCATCCAGGGACAAAACATAAGGAACACAATAGTGTAATACCGCCAATAGTAAAATCAAATGACCTTTATTTGAACTGCTTACATCAAACAAGCCTTTATGCACGTAATCACTTATAATAGTAACCTCACAGCCTCACAGCCATTCAGGAAGAACGTCCAGGTGCTCCAGATCATTCGCTTCCCTTTTCCAAAATGGCCGCCGGTCAACTTCCGGTTCCTGTGTGCGTCTTGACGTCACTTCCCTTGACGCGTTTCGTCATTGGCTTAATCATAATCCCCTTATGATTAAGCCAATGACGAAACGCGTCATAAGTGATTACGTGATTACGTGCATAAAGGCTTGTTTGATGTAAGCAGTTCAAATAAAGGTCATTTGATTTTACTATTGGCGGTATTACACTATTGTGTTCCTTATGTTTTGTCCCTGGATGGAGTAAAGTGCCTGGAAACAGTGGGATCAGCAATCCAGGGAGGATTGTGGAGATCATTCATCCTGAGAAAGCTGTTGGATTGATATAAGCATGTGTTTTCTGAAATGTTGGTAAGGGTACCCTTACTATGAATAGAAGTGCACACCAGTTTGCAATTATATCTTTCTGTGTGTGGGATTGAAGGGTGAGTCACACACACAGTGTTTTCACTGATTATTTCACTATTTTCACCGTTTTTTTCACCATTATCACTATTTGTCACTGGATTGTGGGAGATGAATTAAGTATATATTATATAAAGGATAATGCACTATATGTTATTTTCTTTTTTTGAGGTATATGCACATGGGAGATCGTTAGAAGAATTTCTGAACATCTTGAACTTTGATATTATAGGATAGTGAGAGTTAATAACTGTTTGATGGACTGATTGATGGACTTCACAGTTTTTATTTAGAGTTTGTTTATAACACTTGTACATATATAAATCTGTTACACCTTCAGGGGAAGGTGTTGTTTGTGTTAAGGGTTATTGTTTATCACATTTATTTAGGAGGTGGTTTTTTTTGTTAAAATATGTTAAAAAGCTAGCCTCAAAACATTTTGATTCCACCTCATATTGTGTGAAAATCTGTCGACTGATATGTAAAGGTGTATTGAAATATTTATTTTGAACAAATTGACCCTTTAACCGCTTTCTTGCCGTCCTATAGTGGAACTCTTGCTACAGGTTGGCTGGGCTGCGCAAAATCATGTGTATATATATATATATACATGATTTTCATTAGCGCCATTAGCAGCTAGGAATGTCAATCACCAGGTCCCAGCTGGAGATTCCCTGCCGCCACCCAGCAATCGTCGGGCAAAGCTGACAGAGGAGAGACCTGTGTGTAACCAACACTGGTCTCTCTCCAGTCAGCAAGGACATGCTGCTGTGTGTTTCTATGTACAGAAGATAAATACACAGCAGCATGTCTCCCTAGTAAAACAAACACAGCACATCATGTAAAACAGCACACAGCACACAATTAACCCTTTGATCGCCCCACATGTTAACTCTTTCCTGCCCAGTGCCATTAATACAGTGTCAGCGCTTTTTATTAGCACTGATCACTGTATTAGTGTCATTGGGATGTCAGTGGCAGTTAGTTCACCCCCAGTGTCAGAATGCCCATCGCAGTCCCGCAGTCCCATTATAAGTCGCTGATCACCATCATTACTAGTATATTAAAAAAAAATTCCAGTATATATACCGCCATTTGTAGACAACTTTCACTTAAACCAATTAATTGACACGTATTGGGATTTTGTTTTAGCAAAGACATGTAGCAGAAAAAAAAAAATTGGTCTAAATTTATGAAGAAATTTGATTTTTAAATTTTTTTACTGGACATGTTTTATAGCAAAAAGTTAAAAATATTTTTTTTTTTCCAAATTGTCAGTCTTTTTTTGTTTATAGCGCAAAAAAATAAACAAGTGATCAAATACCACCGAAAGAAAGCTCTATTTGTGGGATAAAAGACATAAATCTGATTTATTTACAGCGTTGCATGACCGTGCAATTGTTAGTTAAAGTAATGCAGCGCAAAAAATGACCTGGTCAGGAAGGGGGGTAAATCCTCTGGAGGGCAAGTAGTTAAAGGGAGTCAAGTCAATGATTACCTGAGAAAATACATGCATAGTGCTTCATGTAATCTAGCAAATCCTGATCTGCCTTCTTGCCTTTCTGTAGTAGGGGAGTGTGAAGTTCCAAATGCATGTATGGAAACGAGGCCAACTTCAAGAAAGTTGGCAAAGCACTTTTTCCAGGATGGTGGAGCTAAATACATTAATCTTCATCATTAATAATGTAATTGCACCAAGAGGCTATAACAAATGTGGTGGGTACCATGCAGGCTAATATTTATTAAACCCCAGCAAAGAACAGAGCTCACCGCCCTCTCTCACCATGTTGTCTACCTCTACATGCGGCATGCAGAGAGGCCAAGGCTGCTGGTGCAATACAGGAGTAGTGCAAATTAGAGTTCAGCAGTACTCTTTGTTATTTATATTTTCAATGCCTAACCCTAGGCAGGAGGGTAGGATGCATTTGTAGAATACTTGGGCTTGGTGATCCTGAGTGAAGATTCACCATTCAGACACTGGAGCAGGACCAAGTCAGTGACAGATACCTGTTTCCTGTTCAGACCTGTAATCATGGCATCTGGAGAGAGGAGTGTTACAACAAAGTCTTTTTCTAGAGTTGTCATGTAATTGTATGCCGAGAGCTGTAATAGAAGCTTATGATGGAGGATGTGTAAACGTGTTTCACAATAAACCATGTTTACTAAAGCAGCTGTAAACCCTAACTGGGTGATAGTTTATTAAAGCATTGTGTATCATAAAAGGGGACTCTCCACTGTCAGAATACACCGATTGTTACGACAGCTGCTGATCGAAGAAGGTTTTCCAGCAGATCCGTTTGACAGAAGCCAATCTAAAGATCATCTTCTGTCGAACAGGGAGCGCAATATAGAGATTGAAATTCGGTGGGCCCCTACTGAACCGGCTGAATTTCGGTCGGTGTGTAGCTAGCTTAAAGTGGAACTTTAGTTAGAAAATTAAGTTCTGATACGTCACTTCAGGCTGGCCCTTTTTGCAGGTATAGCTATGTAAAACTTTAAAAATAGGTGCCCGTGCTGTTTAAAATCTAATAATCCCCTGTTTCACCCTGCTCTGCACATGCTCAGTTGTTCTCTATTCTTGGCACTGTGCCTAAAATCAGAGCTGCTAGAGGCCAATGAGCTAGAAGCTTTAAGATTTACTGTTGCTGAAGGGGGAGGAAAGCAGCAAGAATGACACAGACTGTGGGGAGGGAACACAGATTAGGGAGGGAGAAAAGAAAAGCAGGAGAGGTGACAGATCAAACTCTGCTGCCAAGGAGAGACAAAAGAGCTAAACTTACAAGTAAAGTGTCTTATCTTAATTCCCTGATATTCTCTCCTTTCTCCCTCATGGCAACCTGTGGACTTCAGCTCTGTAAAGCCACTACAGCTTTCCTCTCTAGTTAATCCAAGATTTACAATCAAGGCTGGAAATGTAAAATTTTTAATTACAGATTGAAAAATATATATTTTTAGACCAAGGAAAGGGGCAGAGTCTCCAATAAGAAAGTGAAAATTGCAACCTCCATCGAGAAGAAACAGGAGCACTCCTGGAGGCAATTTACAGTACACACTAACCTTGATAGCAAAATTACTAAAATGGAATGTATGTTCTTTTGTTAAAGAACATTAATTGTTATCAAACTGTTTTGCGTAAAGGTCCACTTTAAGTCTCACACCCAGCTCTAAGTTCTAATCATTTAATATAAATAGGCAGACAGTGGTAGGCTTATTTACAGTAAAAGACTGGAACTCTGAACCAAGTTTCCACATATCTTGATGAGAAAGTATATGGACTCCTATCTTGCACCAGTGCTTCCCTTTGGAGAAGATAGAGTGACAGGGATGAGCAGGTATTCAGTTTATTCACTGATCCCAGCAGACAGTAGTCTGTGTTTTCCTTACTTTAGTATGGAAAGGAAAATTATTCTATAAACTGGCATCTAGTAGTTAAACGGTTTGGTTTATTGCTGTACTTTTCATCTCCTTTCTCTTTTTTATATTTTTGTAAGCTTTTAATGTGGATCTTGCTAACAGAAATATCAAATATCGCACAGGTAATTTTTTGGAATGCTGTAGGAAGAACAAATGTGGATGCGTTGATTTGTAATGGGGGTCGTGATAGCAGTGATTTAAAGCAATAGTAAGCACCACTGGTACACTTGTACCTATAAGTAAGCATATGATAAAGCTTACCTGTAGGTACAAAGAATACCTCCTAAACTTGCACTGTTTAGGAGATATTCAGTGTTGTTCCAGCTGGTGACATCATTGGAGTCTGAAGGGACGGCATACTCATGTCATCCCTTCAGTGCTCTGTTGCATGATCATGACTCCCGTGTGCATGCACATGAGTGACGTCATCATGGCTTGGCCATTTAAATTGTCAAAGCTCATGAACCTGGAAGGAAGACAAGGTGAAGATGGAAGCCCTGTCAGCTGTGACAGCACACCACTGGAGGGCTTCGTTTTAAGGTAAGTCATTCATAATATGCTAATGAACAAAGAAAAAAAGGGCGCACTCTCATCATGCATTACCGTGGTACACCACGTATTTATTGTGTAATCAAATAGATATATACTCACAATGTACTACACCATTGTACTACACCATTGGAGCGGGTCTTGTGCCTTCTTCTGTTTACATGATATTGCTGTCCATGGAGTGACATCAGATACCTTGTGAGATCCTTGTGCATAGGTGGCTGAACAAGTGGATATTGGAGACTCCTTTCATCTCTTGTATTATCGCTTACCAGTTAAAACCCTCTTCTTCTTTTTTCTCACCCAACAAAGTAGAGGGCAATAGAGCACTGGTAAGTGCACACCCGTGTGGGGGCGCACTGTGACCACTTTGTTTTTTTATCACTGGATATTCTTTGTTTTCACTGGATGTTTTTTCATCACATGGTGAATTTAAATACTGTATGTGATGTTTGATTTGGATTCACATTAATTTATTTACTTTCCCACTTAATATTTTCACATATTAATTACTTTTTTGATATAAGATTTTTTTGGTTGTTTCAATTTTTTTGAATATATGTTAATTTTTTTATTGTCAGCTTATGACTGTTAAGTGTGTGCACCACTTTTACACTATCACTGTGGGTTTTAATTTTTATTTGAACTTCTGATACATGTCTATAATCTGTGACAACTTTCTATATCATTATATAATCCCGGAATATTATAGGCAGTCCTTTGGTGATGTCAGAGGCCGCACTTGAGGCCCCTCTGTATCAATAAAGTTGACCACCACTGATTTAAAGTGTCAGTTGGGAATTGTGATGCTGCCTACTTGCTAAGTACATTTGGTTTAAAAATTCCTTTTCCAATTTGAATTATGCAAAATTTTAAGTAATAGTTAACATGATGCTTAGTGTACTGCTTCTGTAAGCCTTGATCTGTAAACAACAGGTGCAGTTGGTGCAATAATATCCTCAGGCGGGTGGTTATAAAGTATGTGGAGCACTTGAATGTCATCCTGTGCCTGTTACAGTGAGTGCAAACATGCCCTCTGTTGACTCCTTCACCTATTATCAGTGACGTAATGACAGGTTTATAGAGGTACCACCTCTGGATGACCATTCACAGTAAATAGTACAGTCATTTATTAGGTACTGATGTACGTCAAGTGTGGGTGAGCTAATAATGTACAGTAACTAGATGTGTGGACTATATGTGTTGCTCTCAGCAACATTAGCAGCAGGTCCAAAGTACAATTCTACTGTGTCTGAGCATATCTATGTAAGAGAATGAGAGCAAGAGATATAATAAGGTATGCCAAAGGTCTACTGAGGGACAACTCTGTTAAAAACATTGAAAAAAAAATTTGTTATCATCAGGAAAGGGTTGGAACCTATATAAGAGTTGTATTGCAGTCCCTGAATCCATTAGGGAAATTTTCTTTCACTTTTCTATGCGGTCACAGGACAGGAAGGAGGGTTCTGTTCAATAGGGTCCCTTATCATAAGTATCTTTTCTGCTGGAGAATGAAGAAGGTCTAGGATCCTTGTTTTCTTTTTTTTAATCATGTTACTGTTGAATTTATTACACTCCTGTGAGCACACCAATACAAAAAATGAGGGGGAATATCTACAATGAAAACACAGACACAGGCAGCAACAAACAGCTAAAGAAGAGATTACATATATTAGGCATCAAGTCAAGCTCTCTGTGCATTTAGAGAAATGTATTTCAAATTTTATTAGTATCAAATTAATAAAACCATTCAGTGGTATGCACAATCAAAATATAATATCATATATGGATGTTAAATGCACAGTAGACTTGTCTTAAAGCCTTATATCTTTAATCCTTTGCCTAGCTTTACTGAGTAGAGTAGTTTTGGCAGTACTCTGTGCTTTTGTTATATATCTTTTGGGGAGGAATGAGCTGCTTCCAATAATACCTGCCCTCAACTTATCCATTTCTATACTGCACTTTTATAGAGGAATGGGCTGCCTCCAAGCATACCTGCCCTCAACGTATCCATTGTTATACTTCACCTTTATGGAGGAATGGGCTGCCTCCAAGCATACCTGCCCTCAGCGTATACATT